GGGGGGGGGGGGGGGGGGGGGGGGGCTACGGTGCTACGAAGGTTGAACGTCTCGGCTTTGGGTTTCCGTGTTGTGGGCAAAAACGTAAAAGCTCCCTGCTTGGGCATGGTTAGGGTTAGGATTTGGGGTGTAGGGGTTTAGGGGTTTAGGGGTTTACGGGTTTAGGGGTTTAGGGGTTTAGGGGTTTAGGGGTTTAGGGGTTTAGGGGTTTAGGGGATTAGGGGTTTAGGGGTTTAGGGGTTTAGGGGTTTAGGGGTTTAGGGGTTTAGGGGTTTAGGGGTTTAGGGGTTTAGGGGTTTAGGGGTTTAGGGGTTTAGGGGTTTAGGGGTTTAGGGGTTTAGGGGTTTAGGGTTCAGGGTTCAGAGAGTTGATGGCTTTGGGCGCAGGAAGACAACCGGGGCCGGCTGCGGCTGGACCTTTCAAAGCGAGCTCTGGAAAGATGCAGCGGCACAACTTAGCTTTGGTTTGTGGCCCTTTTTTTGGGCCTGAGGCTTGAGGGCTTCGGGTTTAGGGTTAAGGGTTTTGGGTTTAGGGTTTAGGGTTTTGGGTTTATTCTGCGGCACTTGCTCAGATTCCCTTTCGCGGATCCCTGTTGCTCCTTTGCCACCCGAAGCGAAAATTTGGGTTCAACCCCTAAACCCGAAACCTGAAACCCTAAACCCTAAACCAAGTTTAAGTTAGGCAACCACGCACGTAGAAGCCTTCAACTTGGGATGCTCACCCTTATACGAGCAGTCCTTCATAGGGGGTTGCAATCGGGGGTACCAGAACACCTACTTTTTAAGGACTCTTAGAAGAAGGGGGAACATCCCAACCCTGAACCCGAAACCCGAAACCCTAAACCCTAAACCCCAAACCCCAAACCCTAAACCCTAAACCCCAAACCCTAAACCCTAAATCCAGTGGACCTGAACCCTCAAACCCGAAACCACCTGCTACCTTGCTCGGTCGCTCCGCAGTGGCCCAAGGCCGTTGCCGCAAGAGTTGGCCCAGAAACCATAAACCCTATCCCTAACCCCAAAACCTATCCCTAAACCCTAAACCCTAAACCCTAAACCCCAAACCCCAAACCCCAAACCCTAAACCCTAAACCCTAAACCCTAAACCCTAAACCCTAAACCCTAAACCCTAAACCCTAAACCCTAAACAAGTCAAGGGACTTCAGGAGGGACCCTAATCAGGGACCTTAATAGGGAACTTGGTAAGCCATGTAAGCCTAGAAATGTTTGTATTCAGCGGCTTGGCGCTTACTGTGCGGTTTCGGCTTGCTTTAGCTTACACGGGTAACACCTTAA